ATCATCTACATAGACCAACAAGTACATACCTCAGGCCTTTGAAGAAGAAACAATGAGGAGTCAGCAGTTGATGATGCAAAACCATGAGCACGAAGAGCCATTGCAAGACGAGCATGCCAAGCACGAGGAGCCTGCTTCAGACCATAAATTGCCTTGGACAAACGACAGAGATGATCAGGGCGATCCGGATCAGAGAAACCCGGAGGCTGGCGCATGTAAACCTCCTCCGCCAAGACACCATGAAGAAAAGCATTTTGAACATCAAGCTGACGAAGAAACCAACCTCGAGTAACAGCCAGAGAGAGAAGAAGTCTGATGGTAGTAGGCTTGACCACTGGACTGAAGGTGTCTTCATAGTCAAGTCCAAAACGCTGTCGAAAACCACGAGCAACCAGACGAGCCTTATAGCGCTCAATGGACCCATCAGAATGCCTCTTCACTTTGAAAACCCATTTGGAATCAATGACATTTACCCGTGATTGTGGAGGAACAAGAGTCCATGTTTGATTGCGAAGAAGCGCTTGATACTCCTGCTCCATGGCCTCTCTCCAATGAGGAATGCGCATAGCAGCTTGATACGTGCGTGGCTCAGAGGATGGATCTGCGAGAGCAGCAGACATGCACGCCGCTAACCAAGCAACTGTGTCATCGTGACGTTGCTTAGGCTGAAAAATGCCACTCCGACTGCGCGTATGTGGACGTAGAGCAGCAGCAGGAGCCGGCGGAGGCGAAGGTGACGGAGACGTGGCGGTCGCCGGTGATGCAGGAATCACCTCAGGCGAGCTCGGGACAGACGACTCCGGGCTGCATGGCGAAGACTGGCCCGACAACAGGGGCTCAGAGGCCATGGGCGAACCGAGAGTGGGCGAGGCCAGCTCCGGTGACACCGGCCCAGACGGCCTTGGCGAGGCGAGAGCAGGCGAGGCCGGCCCTGGTGAGAAGGGCCCAGACACCCTGGGCGAGGCAGGGGCGGGCGAGGCCAGGCCTGGTGATGACTGCCCCGACGCCCTGGGCGAGACGGGGACCGAGGAGGCCGGCCCAGTCGGCGGGGTTGCAGGGCGCGACGATGGCGAAGGCAGCCCAGAAGCCAGAGGCGACCGGGCCAGGACGTCGATCGGCCGTGCATGAGCACGGAAACCGAGGCCATGCAGGGGCGCCATGTGCTCCTCATGCACAACAGAAGGTGCCGAGGATGAAGGCGATGGCGACGAAAAGGAAGATGTCACTTCCAGAATCTTCAAACGAGCCCCACGACCAGTGCCTGCACCATGGTTAGGCAACAATAGAGGAGAATATGCAACATCATCAAATTGGTCAGAAGCAACAGAGGATGAATGCATGACAGGTGGCTCGGTAGTGGACACAGGGAGTTTGGCAAAGGGAAAAACATGCTCATCAAACACAACATCCCGAGAGATGTAGACACGATTAGTGGGCACATGAAGACATTTGTATCCTTTATGAAGAGAGCTATAACCAAGAAAAACACACTTCTTGGAACGAAACTCGAGCTTACGCTTGTTATATGGACGGAGATGGGGCCAGCAAGCACACCCAAACACCTTGAGAAAGGTGTAGTCCGGTTGTTCATTAAGGAGAACTTCAATGGGAGTCTTCATATTCAAAACACGAGTGGGAGTACGATTGATGAGAAAACATGCAGTGGTGAAAGCATCACTCCAAAAACGAAACGAAACAGATGCATGGGCCAAAAGAGTCAGACCAGCTTCAACAATGTGACAATGCTTACGTTCTACTGAACCATTCTGCTGATGTGTATGTGGACATGCTAAACGGTGAGTGATCCCAAGTGACTGAAAGAAGGAGTTGAGGTTGCGATACTCGCCACCCCAGTCCGACTGAACATGAACAATTTTGTGCTTGAGAAGACGTTCAACATGTTTTTGGAACTGAACAAAAATGTCAAACACATCAGATTTACGTTTGATAAGATAAAGCCAGGTAAAGCGGCTGTAAGCATCAACAAAACTGATATAGTAATTATGACCACTAACAGAAGTCTGAGCAGGACCTCATACATCTGAAAACACAAGTTCTAAAGGATGTTTCACCTCACGACTGGACTCCGAAAAAGGAAGTTGATGACTCTTCCCCTGCTGACAAGCATCACACACTGCTACATCTTTATTACTAGACACACTAGAAAGCTCATGACGACGCAAAACATGCCGGACAATAGGTGTGGCCGGGTGACCAAGACGAGCATGCCACTGTGATGGAGATACCCGAACTCCACTGAAGACGCGAGCGACGCCAGGATGCTCCAGACGATAGAGACCTTGGCAGAGCCGCCCACTAAGAAGAATGTCCCTCGTGCCCCGATCCTTAATAAAAAGATCAAAAGGATGAAATTCACAAAGCACATTATTATCACGAGTGAGTTTAGGAACTGAAAGAAGATTACGTGTCACAGATGGAACTCGAAGAACATTGCGAAGTTGAAGACTCCTATTGGCATGTCTAGTGAGAAGTGATGCTTGACCAATATGAGAGATGTGCATACCTGCTCCATTGGCGGTGTGGATATTGTCGGAGCCATGGTAGGGTTCACGAGTGTGAAGCTTCCCCATCTCACTGGTCAGGTGCTCTGTCGCCCCAGAGTCCATGTACCAGTGGGGATCAATGGAGTAGGACTGAGTGTGTCCCTGTGGCTTCTGCGGCGGCGGACGATCAGCCATGGCGACCTGACGAGCAAAGTTGCGTGTATCCTTCCCGTCATTGCCGAGACCAAGAAAACCCCGCTGGAAGCGCTTGTGACACTTCGAGGCCCAGTGCCCATCGCGACCACAAAGCTGGCACACACGTGGACCGCCAGCCCCTGGTAGCGTCGCAGTAGGAGGAGGGGCCGAGGCGGGTGGTGGTGACTACCCCGAAGGAGCCCTGGATGAAGCAGAGGAGCGACCACCCTTGGTGGCGGCGTTTGCCGAGAGGGCGCCATTGCCCCTGGATCGGCGCGTCTCGACTCGTTGCTCAGTAAGCAGGAGGCGTGAAAAGACCTCGTGTGCTGGCATGGGCGTGGAGTTGCCCCTCTCATTGATGATCTCGACTAGGGCGTCATACTCCTCATCAAGACCATTGACAATAAACGAGTTGAACTCGGAGTCGGTGAGGGGCTGTCCAATGGAGGCCAGCGTGTCGGCGAGACTCTTGACTTTGTTGTAGAACTCAGTGGCGGTGGAGTCAAGCTTCTGACACCCCCCAAGTTGGCGACGGAGCCCAGATACACGAGCCTGCGACTGTGCCGCAAACGAGCGCTCAAGAATAGTCCATGCCTCGTGGGACGTCTTGGCGAAGACAACAAGCCCAGCAACGGCCGGAGAGAGCGACCCCTGGATGGAGGAGAGGTTCGCCTGATCCTGCCCTGTCCAGACACGGTGAGCCGGATTATAGACCGGACCGTGCACGCTGTCAACCAGCGCAGGAGGGCAAGGGAGAGAGCCGTCGACATAGCCAAGCAGATAGTGACTCCTAAGAAGCGGAAGAACCTGCGCGCGCCAGAAGATGTAATTGTCCGACGACAACTTGATGGTGATGAGATGGCCGAAGTGAAACGGCGACGGCGGCTGCGATCCCATCGAGGAGACTGGCTGAGGTGAGACCACCGTGGAGACAGTCAGAGGGGCAGCCGGCGCGGTGACAGAGGGCGCGATGGCCGCGGTTGACGCCGCGAAGCCTGCCAGCGCGACGTCCTCCGCCACCAGCGGCGCAGTGGCCGAGGGCGCGACAGCCGCGGTTGACGGGGCGGCGGCGGTGTGGGCCACAAGCGCCTGCCCGGGCGAAGTAGCAGCCGGCGGGAGCGCGAAGAGGGAGCCGACGCTTCGTGTCCCGATCGGCGCCTGAAGGAAGGCGGCATCCAGCGGCCTCGAGAGAAGTGCCGCGAGGGAGGCCGGCAGAAAACCGGTGGCGGTGGAGCCGGAAGCAGCGGCGGACGTCATAGCAGTCGGGCGACGGCGACGGCGGGCGCGGCGGCGGCGGCGGTGGCGGCGGCGGCAGCGGCGGCGGTTTAGGGTTTTTAGGCGGAAGCGGACGTAACCTAGCGTGATACCATGTAAGACAATAGGCTTTGGGGGGAACCGGCACAACCTTCTAGGGGTGGCCTATCACATATATATATATAATGAGGTGGTATACAACGTTACAATATACACATGTAAATATAGTCTAACACCACGAGTCTAGCACACACAAAAGGTCTATATACTATCAGGCATACTACATTACGTTATGATGATTCCATTGCATTATATTTTTTTTCCTCATTTCTAATACTATACGTACATATGGACAAGCTAGCCAGCCTCCAAAAGCAGGTACTAGTCTAGTTTATTAAAATTTAATTATTCCCGTCCGATATATAGTGCCAAATAGGTGCATGTAGTTACCATGTCTGTGTGAATAACTAATAATATGACTGCATGCATCACACCGGGGTATATCCTCCTTTAAAAAAAAAGGTACTTATTAGTACTCTCTCCGTTCCTAAATATAAATGTTTTAAGAGATTCAAATATGGACTACATGCGGGGCAAAATGAGTGAATCTACAGTCTAAAATATGTGTATATACATCCGTATGTAGTTCGTATTGAAATCTTTAAAATTACTTATATTTTGGAACGGAGGGAGTAGTAGTGAGTGACTGAACAGAAGAAATCTTTGCCGGGATGAAAATACCTCAGCAGCCCAGCAGAGGCAACGACTCGAGCCGATTTTACGGTGCTAGCGGCTACCGCGTCGCCGTCGGTTTCCCAAGCCCAAGGGACCGCCGGGATGGCCGGAGCCGCCTATTAAACGGCCCGCAGCACCTCTCATACATTCCATTTAGTCCCTCCTCCCTGACCCTGCTAAGCTAATCCCATCACCATATCTGCATATCATATACTCATTCATTACTCATCATTCATGCATATACATGGGCTGAGTACATGATCAGTCTACTTCGCTGGTGCTACTCGATCAGTTAGCCAGCCGGCGATCGATATGGGGAAGGTGGTCGTCGCGGAGGCCACGGCGCGGCAGGTGGCCTCCTTCGTCCTCGGCGCCGCCGCCGCGCTCACCGTCGTCATGCTCGTCCAGTACCGGGCGCCGGCCGCGGGCCTCAGCCGCGCCAGGACGCCGGCCCACTTCTCCGGCTTGAGATCATCATCCGACGACCAGCACCACCGCCGCAACGGGACGGCAGCGCGTGCCGTTCTTCATCATCCGTCGCCGTCCATCGCCGGCAGTGCTGCCCGAGACGACGATCATCGCCGTCGTCCGGCGAACGCCACGACAATCACAAAGCCCAGTTCTACCTCCACTGCTGCTGCTGCTCTAAGTCATCTTCCCGGCACACATCGGCATGAAGAAAAGGTCTGTTTGCGATCGGGTTTCTTACTAGTTAATCTGCTTTTTGCCCATGAGCAAATTCAGGGGGCTTCGGTTCAACGGCAATACTACTTTCTTGCAGTAGCAGTTACAAAATAATTGACCAGCCACTCACGCGTTGCCACGAATGGCCACTGAATTAAACAACCAAGATTCTTTGTTGATATATCTTGTCACGAGTCCGTCAATGCTCTTGTCAGTTACAGATCTTTTTAATTCGTTGTAGAATTAATAGCTGCAAATTTGACCAAAAGCAGGTGCCTAAAAATAGTACTCAAAAATGCTTTAATTTTCTTCTGCGTGGAGTACTAAAAAAATGCTGATGGATCATACTATATGCATGCCATGTCAGGGAGCGAAGGAGGAGCCGGCGGAGTTCCGGGGGCTGGCGGCGGCGGTGGCGCGAGCAGCGACGGACGACCGGACGGTGATCATCACGTGCGTGAACCAGGCCTGGGCGGCGCCGGGCTCCCTGCTGGACCTGTTCCTCGAGAGCTTCCGCATCGGCGACGGCACGGCGCGGCTCCTCCCACACGTGCTGGTCGTGGCCATGGACCCCGGTGCCCACGCGCGGTGCCTCGCCGTGCACCAGCACTGCTACCACTACACCATCCCGGGGATCAACATCGACTTCGCCGCCCACAAGTACTTCCTCTCCAAGGACTACCTGGAGCTGGTGTGGAGCAAGCTGAAGCTGCAGCGCCGCATCCTGGAGCTCGGCTACGGCTTCCTCTTCACCGACGTCGACATCGTGTGGCTGCGCGACCCGTTCAAGCACGTCACGGCGTACGCTGACATGACCGTGTCCAGCGACGTCTACTTCGGCGACCCCGACAACCTGGGCAACTTCCCCAACACGGGGTTCTTCCACGTGAAGCCCAACCCGCGGACCATCGCCATGACGAAGCTGTGGCACGGCGGTAGGGGCAAGTACCCGGGCGCCAACGAGCAGCCGGTGTTCAACATGATGAAGAAGCAGATGGTGGCGGAGCTCGGGCTCCGGGTGCAGTACCTGAACCCGGCGTACGTCGGCGGGTTCTGCAGCTACGGGAAGGATTTGGGGAAGATCGTCACCATGCACGCGAACTGCTGCGTGGGGATTGGGAACAAGATAAGGGACTTGAAGAACGTGCTGGGTGACTGGAGGAACTATACCAGGATGCCGCCATGGGAGCGGCACCGGGCCAAGTGGACCGTGCCGGGCGCCTGCATTCGAGCGGAAAAACAAGTTTGATCCATCAATTGGTTGATGGATTTTGCAATCGTTTGTTACTTATAGAGTAGTTTAATTCTACATATATACTCCGTGTGGGGATGGAGAGATAGACTATAGAGTATTTGTTGCCATACCTGTAAAATGCTCTATAATGAAAATATATACTGTATCTACTTATTCCATTACATGCTAGCCAGAAAAATGCTCGTCTCTCAACCCTAAGAAGACGAGTCGCAGGGGCGCTTCGGCAGTTTTCTTTTATTTTTGGCTCTTTGTTTCTACTTTTATTTTCCTTTTTTGGGTTTTCTTTTTTGTTTCATTCTGTTTTTCTTTTTATGTTTCATGGTTTACCTCTTTCATTTTTATGTTTACATGTAAATATATCGCATTAGTAGAAAAAGGGTCAAATGTTTAGCTCATTAATCCTGATTTGTATTTAAGCCGGCACTAATGTGACCAATAGTGCCGATTTTCAACGGCTAGGCGGGCGGCGCTCATTAGTACCGTTTCGTGGCGAACCTTTATTACCGGTTCGTGCCACGAACCAGTACTAAAGAGGTGGTGGCCTTTAGTACGGGTTGGTGGCGAACCTTTATTACCGGTTCGTGCCACGAACCGGTACTAAAGAGGTGGTGGCCTTTAGTACGGGTTGGTGGCTCCAACCGGTACTAAAGACCTCCCCTAGTACCGCTCCAACCGGTACTAAAGCTGGTGGCCTTTAGTACGGGTTGGTGGCTCCAACCGGTACTAAAGACCCCCCCCCCCTTTAGTACCGGTTGGAGCCACCAACCGGTATTAAAGGAGCTCGCACTGGTTTATAAGCCCCGTCGACCGTGTCGAGCTCCTCTCTAAGCAGGCCTTTATGGGCCTATTGCAAGTCTTCTGCCCTGTGGGGCCTACTAGGCCATACGGGCCTGCATCCTGGCCCAACTAGAGGTTGAGTTTCTAGTCGTATGCTGGTCGTGCCAGCCCAGTAGGCGGGTTGTTTTTGCTTTATTAAAAAAAATAAAAAAATCGGTACTAAAGGTCCCTCAGACCACGGCGCGGCTCGTGCCACGTGGTGGGCCTTTGGTCCCGGTTCGTGTTGAACCGGGACTAAAGGAGGGGACCTTTAGTCCCCACTCTTTAGTGCCGGTTCCAGAACCGGTACTAAAGGTCCTTACAAACCGGTACTAAAAGTCGTCTTTCTATTAGTGTCGGAACCAATCCGTGGAAATTCTTTTTGAATGTAATATGCCTGTGTTTTTTGTAAACACAAAACATCCTTTTAGAATAGGTATTCATTTAGTTACATGAATATTTCTTAAAAGATGTGCACAATTTTTCAAAATACATGAACACTTTTTTAAATACGTGAATAGTTTTTAAATTGACATAAGCAAATTTGTAAAAGCTTGCATGCTTTTTTAAATTAAAGTAGTATTTTTTAAAACATGTGAGCACTTTTTAAATTATATGATTTTTTAAATTTTGGTAACAGATTTTTAACCACATAAATAATTTTTTATACTAAGTTATTTGCTAGCTTGTTCAGTTTTTAGCCATTCTGCATTCATTCACTGGTTAGTTAATTTGAAGAGAATCTTGCGAATGTACTACTTTTTTTTGGCGAATAAAATGTACTACCGCCGCTAGGATATAGATGGTCCTAGAATCAAGTACCACACATCGTTAGTTCATAATAATTGCATTCATGTACTTACTAACTGTCGTGCCTAGCTAGCTCATCAATCATGTTAGGTTCATCTACCACCGCCGGCAGGTTGAGTTGCCTGATTCGCACGGCTCATCGTCCAGCGACTGCAAGCAGTTCAGCGCGCAGCCTGCTACTACAACAGGCACCTCACGGAGCTGGTGACAGCACCGAGTATTTACGTACGGTTGATCGGTGTAATACCGGTGTTTTTTTTAAATGGAACACTTTGTATTCCATTACGACACGGCCAGATCGCCGGTCACCGCACTGATTGCAACATCAGGGTAGCTTGTGAACCATTCATGGTGTTCATCATGAGCTAAACCTGCACCCGTGGAAGCCAACACATGCGCTGGCTTGTTAAACACGTGTTGCACCAACACCCCACACACACTCACCCAGTGCTTACTAAAGGGTGGATTAAAGTTGTGGAGCTTCAAGATTAATTAAGTCACCACGTGCACCAGACTAATAAAATATCTATCAAATCTACCGCTCGAGGGATAAAAATAAGCGAATGTCAACAGAAGACGAATCACCAGATTTCGGACAACATTACAGAGTTGTCACCTTAAAGAGATCCATCTTCAAAACAGACGCTTCACTTGGTCAAATGAGCGATCAAACCCGATATTATGCAAGTTGGACTCTTTCTTTTGCAACGCGAAGTGGGACATCCAGTTCGGCACACATATTCTCCATGCGCTGTCCTCGTCGCTCTCTGACCATTGCCCGCTTTTGCTTGCTGATGACAAAGGACCACAGAGGCCTCGTGCCTTCAAATTTGAAAATTTTTGGGCCGCCCTTCCGGGATTCCAGGATGTTGTTTCGGAGGCTTGGAATGAACAGACTGTGCACACTGAGCCCTTCCATGTGTTGCACCACAAATTGAAAATAACTGGAGATCGCCTCTCTGCCTGGAGTAAGGGGCTTTTCTCTAGGGCAAATTTACTCCACCATGCGGCTCTTCTCGTCATCCTGCATCTGGATATCGCACAGGAGTCCAGGCAGCTCTCTACCATGGAGGCCGACCTTCGGTCCAGGGTCAAAAGGAGAATCATTGGGTTTGCGGTGCTTGAGCGTGCTCGCAAAAAGCAATGTGCTAGGCTATGTCACCTCAGAGAAGGGGACGCAAATACCAAATTTTTTCATCACGGGTCAATGCCAGGAGGAGAAAGAATCACATTCATCGGCTCAAACACAATCACGGCTGGGTCACAGATCATGAGCAAAAGGAGCAACTCGTCCATGCGCACTTTTTTTGCGTCATGGAAAAGGGGGAGGCGAAATCCATAGACTTTAATTGGGAGGAGCTCAATTTGGAGACCTACAATTTGGCTTCCCTCGGGGACCCCATAACCGAGGATGAGGTGCGGGACGCCATTAACCAAATGCCTGGGGACAAGGCTCCCGGGCCGGATGGTTTTACCGGTCTCTTCTTTAAAAAATGTTGGAGTACCATCAAGGTGGACGTCATGAGGGTGGTCTCCTCCTTTGCCAATCTGCGCACAACTGGCCTTCATTGGCTCAATACTGCGAATGTTGTGCTCCTCCCGAAAAAAGAGGGGGCCGAGGATATTTCTGACTATCGTCGTATTAGTCTTATTCACGCCATTACAAAGATTATTGCGAAAATATTGGCAGTCCGCCTGGCTCCCCATATGCATAAGTGTAAGGGCATATTTATCCCTAAGTGTTTTGGTGATTGATGACAATGCATTTGCGGACTAATCATGTGCCTTGAGTATTCCAGACACTTCATTGCTAGGCACAAGACGATTGGGTGTCCCTCGAAGACTGATGAAGACGGCGTCTTTTCTACGTTTCTTTTTGGTGGATTTGACTCGTAGGAAAGCCGTACTATTAAGAGGGGGTCCGCGTTGGAAAGGTTTGGGTGAAATCATCACGTACACGTCTCCTTCTTGTCCCCTCCTTTTTCCTCGGAGCTTCCTCCGTTTTCTTGCCTCCCTTGTCTTGCTGCTGTGGTTGGTCGCGGTAGTATTGTTCCCAGGAAAACGGTAGTACCGTAGGCATCCGCGGTAGTACCGTGCGGTGGCGCGGTAGTATCGCAGGTGCCCACGGTAGTACCGCTCCCCTGGAGCCGCACTACAGCTGCCCACCAGGCTAGTGCCGCCCCTTTGCGGTAGTAGGGGCGGATGTAATTTTTTACATCCGCACCTACCGCGGTAGTACCATTTTCGCCGAGCGGTAATACCGCGCTATGCAGTCAGGCAGTAGTACCGCCCCTCGGCAGTACTACTGTGTCGGGTTTTTGCTACTTCCGTTTCTTTGCGGAAGTAGGCACGGAAGTTCCTTTCCCCCTGGCTGGGTTTTTTTGCCTTGCGGTAGTACCGCTTGGGGGCGCGGTAGTACCCCGCGTGCGGAAGTACCGCCCCCAGCTCCTGCGCGTCTGTTTTTCTTTTCTGTCGCTGGGTGAGGGAGTCTTGGATTAGGGTGTGTTCGGATAGCCGGACTATACCTTCAGCCGGACTCCTGGACTATGAAGATACAAGATTGAAGACTTCGTCCCGTGTCCGGAAGGGACTTTCCTTGGCGTGGAAGGCAAGCTTGGCGATACGGATATGTAGATCTCCTACCATTGTAACCGACTCTATGTAACCCTAACCCTACCCGGTGTCTATATAAACTGGAGGGTTTTAGTCCGTAGGACAACATACACATCAACAATCATACCATAGGCTAGCTTCTAGGGTTTAGCCTCCTCGATCTCGTGGTAGATCTACTCTTGTACTATGCATATCACCAATATTAATCAAGCAGGACGTTGGGTTTTACCTCCATCGAGAGGGCCCGAACCTGGGTAAAACTTCGTGTCCCTTGCCTCCTGTTACCATCCGGCCTAGACGCACAGTTCGGGACCCCCTACCTGACATCCGCCGTTTTGACACCGACATTGGTGCTTTCATTGTGAGTTCCTCTGTGTCGTCACCGTCAGGCTCGATGGCTCCTACGATCATCGATAGCGATGCAGTCCAGGGTGAGACCTTCCTCCCCGGACAGATCTTCATCTTCGGCGGCTTCGCACTGCGGGCCAATTCGCTTGGCCGTCTGGAGCAGATCAAAAGCTACGCCCCTGGCCGTCAGGTCAGATTTGGAAGTTTAAACTACACGACTGACATCCGCGGGGACTTGATCTTTGACGAATTCGAGCCACTACCGAGCGCGCCGCACTATCACGACGAGCATGATCTAGCTCTGCCGCCGAACAGTGCCCTGGAGGCCGCAACCGCATCGGCTCCGACCCTTAATTCGGAGCCAACTGCGCCGATCGAGGATGGGCGGTTGGACGCCACCTCGGGGG